GTAAGCCTTCTCATCAGCTTCTTTAATCTCGGCTTCTTTGGTGGCCAGAGCCTTCTGAAGCTCTTTCTCAGCTTGGGCCTTTTTGACCTCGGTCTCTCTCTTCTCGGCCTCGACAACTTTTTTGATGGCCTCAGCAGACTCGGCCTTTTCTTCGGCTAGGATTTGGGCTTTGGTGGCAGCCTCAGCCTGGTCTTCCAGTTTTTTCATTTTTAACTGAAGAGTTTTGCTCTCCTTTTTAAGAGCAGAAACCTCCCTTTTCATGTCGGCCAACCTCTCCCTTGTTTCAAAAGCTTGCATGGAGAGGGAGTGGGCATGTGGGATGGCCTGAAAGAACACAAGGCACAAATTGTTACAAAATTCTACAAATTAAGAAAGAAAACAGATTTCAACACAAAGGCACTTACTTGGACAGAGTGTTGCAGCATTAAGGCGTAGTTCTCATATTCACTCATCTTGGCATTTCGCTCAAGATCTCCTGGGATGAGTAGAGCAGTACTTAGGACCACGCCGACGTTTATGTCATTAGCACTGTCGCTGGCTAGGATTGGCTTATCTTCCAGAGTAATCTCTGGTCTCCAAGGGACTTTTGGTATTCTAGAACCCGAAGTCGTCGCGGACGATGACCTCGGCTTCTTTGATTGGGTGGATTCTGATGGCTGGGCCTCAGCAGACCTTTTTGCAGAAGTAGAAGCATATTTTTCACTCTCTGCCAATTGTGAGATGGGCAGAGCATCCTCAGCCTCAACCTCAGTAGCTTTGGCCTTGGGCTGAGCCTTTTTAATTCTCTTCGGCTTTGGTGGGGGCATGGTTTGCGTCGTTTGAGCATCAACATCCGTGGGAAGGTCGGCTAGGAGATCTTGGGTAACAGGCTTCGGGCGACCCATCTCAGCAGTTTTGATGAGTCGTCGCCGACGCTTTCTTTCTGGTATTGTGATTAAGTATGGGGCTGAAATTGATGGTTGGTCGGCTGGATTAGAGGTTGACCCTTGGTCAGCCCGAGATGTTGATGCCGTTTGAAGAGTGATAGCAGAGGGAGGAGATAGGCTCTTCTTCTTTCTTTTTGGGACGTCGGGCAGTGTGGATTTATATGTCGGAATAAAGTTCAGAAGGAGAGGTGCTTTCCTTTTGTAGACAGGCAAGTCCAAGAGCCTTTTCAGATCCTTGCTAAGAACGTAGGATTGGCGAAAGTCTTTCGGTAACTTACGAACGTCTGCAAGAAGAAACAAACATTAGAAACAGATTAGATATCGAAGACTTGAATAGAAACAACTAAAGTATTGACATTGGGCTCTTACCCTTGCTCTCTTTAATAGTTCGGGGAAGAGGGTAGAGATAGGCGTCCTCGTCTGGGCCAAACTCCCAATTTCCCGAAGCTATAACATAGTCATCTCCAGCCCCCTTGTTGGAGTCTGGGAGGTCAGCTACGATTTTGTATTATGTTGACCTCGGCTGAAGATAATAAACGAAGCCTTTTTCCTTCAGGCTAAGGGGGCACATGGTATAACAGAACTGAATGTCGGCCAGGGTAATCCTAGCGTTCTCCTGCCTAGCTAAAGCTATGATGCCATTGATCACTTGATAAGAGTTTATGGCAAGTTGCATAGGGTTCAACTTGTAAAAGTGAAGAATTTCACGAAAGAGAATGTTAAGTGGGAGCCGAAGTCCGCACTCAGTAAAAGCTACTATAGGAAAGGGCATTGAATCATCTGTGGGCATGATAGAGTCATTATCTTCAGCTAGCCTCAGATGGACATCGGCAGGAATAGAGAACTCCCGCCTAAAGTACTCGAGTTTGGTTGGGGTATCTACCCTATATCTCCACATACCCATAACGTCGGCCTAAAGACAGAGGGCTAGGTTTCAGAAAGAAAGGTGTTCTTAAGGGGTTATCCAGACCTCGGCGAAACCCTAGGTATATGCTGGTAAGGATTGTTTCAGTTTTCCCTAAATTAAAGGTTCTACAAACAAATCCCAAGCCTAAGAACTATGAAGATGAAGATCAGAGGCACAGATTCGGAAAGGAAAAAACAGAAAATAAGAAACAAAGAATGACGTTTCAGAAATGAAGAACAGAGGTATGGTTCTCAAAAGCGAAAGAAGTACAGAAGTAAAAGGTCAAGAACAGTGGCAAGAAAAGTATTAAAACAGTGCAAGTGTTCAAAGATATGAGTAAAATCATGGAAAAGACGCATCCAGATGAATAGTTCAGCAAATAAAAGGTTTGAACAGCGCAATAATGGCAGCAAGTAAACGAAAGCACATAAACGAAATTGGGAATAAGAGGAACAGAGGCTTACCAGAACAAATGAAGCCGGAATAAAAGGTCGCCGAGGTGAGGCAACAGTTGCAAACACGACGGAACGGCGAAAGCTTCAAAGGGAGAATGAAGACGGTTGCAGAGCTTGGAGCTAGAGCAATGGCGGATTTGAGAAAGTTTAAGAGAGAGAGAAAGCCAGAAAATCGAACACAAAAGTAAAGAAACGAAAAGAAAGGGGGAAAAGTTTTGTAAAAAACTTGAAACGGCGGCAAAAGCAGGGCATTTATTACGCTTGGAGCAACGCACACGTTAGACGGCGCAGATGGGTGAAATACAGTTTTCAGGCGCGTCACAGGCACGGGCCAATAAAAATAAAGCACGTGAGGGGAACGGTTGAGAAAAGGTGCATGACAGCTCATGCGCGTGGAGGAATTCGTTTGAGTTTTTGTTCTTTGATGAAGGCATGTCGGCCTAAAATGAATGATCTCGGCCGAAGAGTTCTTACGCCGAGGTACTGGAAGAAAATACAGATATAGGTTCCATCACCTCAGAATGTCGAGGTAATAGAACCTAGGGGGCAGTTGTGGGGATGTATTTTTTGAATACCAACACGTGGCATGGTGATGCCGACGTGTCAGCCGAGGTGCCACGTGTCCTGGTAGTTATGCCGAGGTTACCTAGGCAAGGCCGAGGTGATCTCTGAAGATATCGGAATCCGATATAAACGGATATGAGACAAGAGTCCTAGAATGAAGAAAAGACTTCTGCTAAGATAAGGATAAAGCTCTTAGAGAGTTTATCTTTATCTCTTGAAGAGTCCAAACTTGACATTGAATTGGAGTCCATAGAAGTCAGAGTTCTAGTGGGACTTGGATTTAGTAAACTATAAAAGAGAGGCACCCCCGTGGGTCTAAGGTATGCAGTTTTATACTCAAGCTTGTGAGTTTAGCACTTGATTATCTTTGAGAGATATACTGACTTGATTGTCGGAGTGCCCCCCGGGTGGAAGAGCCACCGCCGGAGCCTTTTCTTTCTGTTGCAGGTTCACTGAAGCCATCTATTCTGCCGGTGCTCTCCAGCTGATTACTAGGCGGGCAGTGTGGTCAGAAAATTACCCACACATCATCTACTCACTAACAATCTCATCCAATTTAATCCACCAAACAAACGTGGCCAAGAAATAATGAAAACTTGTTTTTAAGACAAGTGAATAATTTTTTTTTTCAAATTTTGACAATTTGTCATTTTCTGCCAATAAAAATAATTACCAAACAAAATTTTATTTTCAATTTTTTAAATTTTAAAATGAAAAACAGAAAATTAAAAGGCTACCAAACAAAAAAGCGTATTTAATGATTCAAAAAATTAATTTTATAAAAAATTTAACAAGAAAGCCTATTTAACTATTCAAAAAAAAATTAATTTTATAAAAAATTTATACGAAGACAATTTTTGTAAGTAAAAGTAATGTTGGCCGTGGTTATATTTTAAAATAAAAGATCCCAACTCAATCCCATCATTTTATATAAAAGTTATGTTTTTATTTTTATTTAACAATTCAAAAAATTAATGTTATAAAAATTTATACGAAGACAATTTTTGTAATTAAAAGTAATGTTAGCGGTGGTTTTATTTTAAAATAAAAGATCCCAACTCAATCCCATCATTTTATATAAAAATTATATTTATATTTGTTAACACCATAAATCTGTAATTTTTATTATTATTTATTATTTATATAATTGCAGGACACGTGGCATCCTCTTATTCATTTGGAAGTTAAAAGAAGTTATAGAGATAATGGAGAATATGAAGGACAAAGTGGATGAGTGGGAGGACAAAGTGAATGAGTGGAAGGACACATGGCAAGACAAGAATGAAGATGGAAGAAATGGGTAGTTACTAAATAGTTATTGCTGTATTTTTTCTTCTATAAATAGCCATTAATGGCTACATTGTAAAAAGATCCAGAACTTAAATCAAAGACAATTGATTTCAATATTTCTTGTCATTTTCCTTATCTTAGGAGTAGTTTAACATAGATTTATATTTCGAAGCATTTATTTTCAGTATTTCCATTTCGAAGCATTTTATGTACTTTCTTTTCGAAGCATAGGAGTAGAGGTAAGTATTTATTACTTTGATTGTTCACTCAATCATCTTTCTCCGTCCCTTTTTCTTCTTTTACTTTTTCTTTTCGCTACACCTAACAAATTTGAAGTCCTCTTCGTTGAGACAAAAGAACCGTCAACACAATCACTTGGTAATTGGCTTGAATTTAATCTGTAAGGATTTTTCAATCCTTGTTGACACGCTCGCATTTATGATATTTTCCTTCGTAGGAAAAATAAGCCAACAATATTTTTATTATTAACATAGCATTAATTTTAACAATTTCTTAGAGAATTAGCTTATATGGACTGATTTGATTACAAAAACAAGTTCTATACTCAATTTTGAAAGGAGAAATTAATAAAATAAATATCACAAAAAAATCCACTGTTAGAAATGTAATAAACATCTCTACACCAAAAAAGAAAATTCCACAAATGATCCTCATTTCTATCCACAACAATCAATGAATGATAAGAAGAAACAATATAGAAGAGCATGCCACTCAAAAAATAAAAGAACTTTACAAACATAGAATTGAAAAAAATAATAATAATAACAATTACGGATGACATCTGTAATTGTTTCTGTGTTTCTAATAGTGTTTCAAAAGAGAAGAAAAAAAGAGAAGAAAAAAAAAAAAAAATATGAGGTGATATATATATATCCTCCGTTAGTTCACTTCGGGTATACTGTTTAGGGTCGGCCTCCACGACCGTTGATGCTGAATCTCAAAACGATCACTAGCGTCGATCAACGAAGACACGACTTGGACCACGGGCATATGATGCACCTCCCCCCTTCCTAGCAATTCCTCTAGCTGTTTCTTGGTAATCTTGATCTTCACCTCTGTACTACTAGTTGATGATGCTGATGATAAAGATGAAGATGAAGATGAAGAAGATGATGAGAATGCTCTATTCTGAGCCACCAATCTTTGTTTTTGTCTGTTGGGTTTCTTCGCTTCCATATGCATAGACTCATCTTCCCACTCATCACCTGCCCACACTATTGATGATTTACTCCCAATACAAATGCAATTGCCCATTATCTTTCTCCGAGTCTTATATGGAGAATTTTGTGCTTTATGTGCATAGAGGAGACAGAGAGAGAGAGAGAGAAAAGTGGTCTATACTATACATATATATACATATACATATGTATAGGAGAGAGAGAGAGAGAGAGAGAGAGAGAGAGAGAGAGAGAGAAGGGGGAGGGAGAGGGGAAGCTTCTAGGGGAAAATTGAATTAAGGAAAATGTGTGGGAGTACTAATTAGTGTAATTATTAATGATGTGACAGTGGGTCTCATTATGAATAATTTGATATTTTGACCTTGGTGTTATATATATATATATATTTTTTTATTAAGTGTCATGTTATTAGTGATCATTTTAGAGTTTCAAAATTAGTGATTCCGATCATTGTTGTTGAATTAAATGAAGAGGTTGGGGCAGTAGGTTAGCTGACCAATTAATAGAAGCCTATTCAATGTAGGGCCCCAAAGGGCAGCTCCTGCAGCTTGAGCTGGTTCAAACAGGCTCGGCTTGTTCATGGCTTTTATTTAATTAGATATCGTTTACGAAAATATTATTTTAGTAATTTTTTAATTTTTTACAAAAAGATATATAGAAAAGTAGAAAGTGATGTAAAAATTTATAATGATTTTTTAACTTTTTAACTAAAATGTATAGTTGACAAATGAGACATTAATCCCATCCTAAATTGTTTAGGTTGTGTTTGAATAGAGACTTTGAAAAAGAAAGGGTGAGGCTCATCTTTGTTTAAATAGTTCACAAATAAGGGATGACTCACTTAACGTGTTTTGTGATTAAGTATTACGTAAATGATGTCTAATAATACGTGAAATTACATAACATTTTTTTTGGCACTCGGATTATAAATTTAATTTTAAAATTTTTGGAGTAATTGGAATAATAATAATAATAATTTAATAGATGATATTATATCTATCTCCACTATTCCACCTATCTGTCTATATATCTATCTACTTATTTATTTATCTAATCTACCTATCTGTTCATATTATCACTACCACAAGACATCACTAGCTACCATTACCAGTCGCTGACCACCTCTAAGACTTTTTCAGTGAGGATGACTTTTTCAATAGTACTATGTAAAAATAAAAAAAAAGTATTTTTTAAAATAATAATTTATCTTTCTCATTAAATAATTTTATTAATAATGTTCTTATAACAAAAATAAAATAATCTTTAGATGTAATGTCATACACCTTCCTAAAAATGAATTTCTCAATAATTTTTCCTATTTTTTTTCAAGTTAAAGAGTAACTTTTTTTCCCTCCTATTTATTGAAGTTAAAAAGTTACCTATATGAATATATGTAACAATTATAAAGTATAAATGAGGAATATTAAATAAATGAAAATTTTAAATCAATAAAATGTAAGTGAGACATGTGACAGAGACACTATTTTGACTCATATTATTAACAGCAAATGCTAACAAATGTTTCATGAGTATTGTATAATGTTAGATAGTATGTAAAAATTACTTTAAAAATACGTATAAATATAAAAAAATGTATTAAGTTCACTAAAAGTGTATTAATATAGTGAAAAAATGTCTGGTGTCTTTTTAATTTTTTTTTGTCTTTCACTTGTGTCTTATGATAGGAGTCCTTGTGAGTAAGACCCATTATTAATTTATAATTAATTTGTTCACTTCACAATATTTTCCAACAGAATATTTTAGGAGTTTGGCTCCTATCCAGTCCATCTGCAATCGGGGTTGAGGTTGCTATTGGCCCATGGTGGGCCCTATTCGCGATCTATCTTGATAATTTAAAGTATTCATTGGGTAGGTATTCTTGTAAAGAATCACGTTGATCAGATATTAATAGCCACTCGATCAAATCACATTTGTGTCTACAACAAGTATGATTTTCAAAATAAACTGTTAACATAAATGTGAAGTGGATATTGATATTCCATCAACATGATTTTTGATAAAAATAATATAATTAACAAGTCCCACATATTGAACGATTTGAATTATGAAGATGAACCTTGATCTAGACCTACCATAGGCACCATACGATCATGCTTGTTTATCGGTTTTAGTGGCTGGATTGGATTACCGTGACTGTGGGCCTTACCAACAGTGTGTTTGGTGTTAAAATAGGAGGTCAGATTGATAGTCTAAGGGAGTTAGTAATCTCCTTCAGTAGGAGGACTAGCTTGGCTGGTGAGATTAGGAAAATAGTGAGCGCATCAGGCAAGTTATTTATTTATTTATTTATTTTTTTTACCAAGTGCACATGTTTATTTTAATATTTTTTTAGATTTTTTATAATATTGAAATAATTTTTTTATTTATTTTATATAAAAATTTTAACAATCCTATCAGTAACCATCTTCTACACTATTATCAAAATAAACACATTTTTATTTAATCACTTTAGTAACAATTCTCACATTAATAATTTTTTTACTAACCATTCATTTACTGACAATCTTATCTAATCTAATTTAACAAACAAATGTGGCTTACATGCCATAAGTGCACCGGAGAGAAGCCTCTAGTGTCATTTTATGAAGCCGGTGAAACAAAGCCGCCTAGCCGAACCAAGTTAAGTGAAAGCCTATAAATGTGTATTTTGCAGTGTGAAAGGGGTTTGGAGATGGAATCAAATTGGAATAATAGACAAATTCGTACAAGTGTGAACTAAAACATGCAAACCGAATCTCAATTTTTAATCTCTCACCCACCTTTGATATTTTCTCTTGGGCCTCGCACGTTTGTACTACTTCCAAATAAAGATATATTAATTATATTGACATTTTCAGGTTGATTACACCAGGTAAGAGTGTTTTAGAATCATTTTAAAATATTTTTTTGAATTATTATTATTTTTTATATAGGACAAGAAAGTACCCAGGGAGCTTGAAAAGTTTCCAGTAAAACAAGAGGAAGAATATACTTTGGGAC